ATCTCCAGATCCCTGCAGAATAAGACAGGCATGATCATAAATGACACACTCTCTGAGAAATCTGTCTGTAATACACACAAATACTTTTCATTGATCATCTGTAATGAAGAGGCTACATTAAATGTCCATGTTTAACTAAATCCAGTTAAACAAACACTCAGTTGTAAGTCAATAAATAAATTATAACAAATTACCAAATGTGAAGATTTCCATCAAAATCCCCGGTGGCCATGTGTCTTTGTTGAATAGAGGTGGCTCCAAATGTCGCACACTTAATGGGTTTAGGTTTCTCCACCTAGATAAAACATGCATCAATTCAACTGTCTAAGGTAGAATGAATGAGGAAGAGCACTTCTGTTTAACACTAATAATAAAGTAATAACATGTTTTTTGTTTTTTTTTTTTAAAAAACGTTTTTACTCCCCATGGGCATGTCTGTTGCTATGGAGACAGCAACCAAACACGACTATTTCAGAGACATAAAAACGTTAACCATCTATGAATCAGAATCAGTCCATTTCCGAAAAGTACAATAAAAACTCATGTAATCTGCAAAAAAATAATATAAATCAAGGTTGAAATTTACCTCCTTGATCAACAGAGCATCTCCACGCTGAACCTCATATATTTGCATGACTCCAGTTCCTCTGGCGAAGTTTCCCATGCAGACGAACTTTGCGCTGCAAGGAATCCATTTACTGTCGAAAACTGTATAATTCAGGCTCTTCTGGATATGAACAATCATCTGAGGCTTTGACAGTGGCGTTGACATGATTGGTGAGTGAAGAAAACGTTCTTTAAACACGCCGGTAGTGACTTGAAATAGTGAACACGATCCTTGTTGTCATTCGCCTTTACGACGAACGTAAAGCTGTTTTGTGAGTATTTCTGTTTCCCGTCCTTTTGTTTCGATAGAGACGACAGCTACTGGACATAAAAGACCGTTTATGCCGTGACGAGAAATGCTTTTTGTTTGTTGAAAGTAAGACGAAATAATAGCGAGGACGGAAGAGTGCGCATTTGGAAGTTGACAACCGTCAACTGTCGTAAAATAAACGGCGGTAAGCGGCAGTTTACGATAAAGGGACGACAACCTTTTTCCCGTTTGTTTTTGTTTTTGAAAGAACGTCATACATAATAATTAAGAATAGAAGAAATAATTAAAATTACTCTATATGAAAATTAAATAATGAAAACATAACGTAAAGAAAACGTAGAGATTCCACAGAAATCCTGCAATATTGTACCTTTGAATTGTATGTACCTTTTTCATAATCCCTCTATCCGACACATATTTTTCCAACATTTAATTTTTTCCTCTGTTTTATAAAGTGACTGACAGTGACAACAAAATAAAATGAGAAATGCGCTCCAGAAGGTTCGCTGCGGTATTGTGCTATCAAAACAGACGACCAACTTTTAGGGCTGTTCTAAAATATGCCGGGTTAAATATTTACACTCACAGAAAATATTTATCTCTTGCCATTTGAACTTTTACTATTTAAAAAAACATATATTATGTTCCATATTATGTTTCATCCAATAATTTATATAACGTTCAAAAACAAAAATATTTTTTCTGTACAGGCACATTGAGGCGCTATTATGGGTCCTTTTCGTCACACGGGAGCTGTCCTCGTGTTGTTTCTGTTTTAGTAGTCGTCAAGTTTTGACAATTAACTTAATATACTCTAGTTTAAGAATGGAGTCTGACAAAACAACAGAGTCTAACGTCGAGGCTGCTGCGGCCGGTAACGATGACACAGAGTCTTTCACAAAGGTGAAGTCTAAAAAGACGCAGAAACGAAAACGTGAGCAAGATGGAGCGGGCATGGACACGGAGGCGCCCGTGGTCGCCAAGCGGCCACAGTTTCCACCAATCTCAGGCGACAAATTACGGGTAAACATTGTGTGCATTTATTGACTTTAAGACCTACATAATAAAACGTACCAAGGAACAAAAACATCTGAATTGTTTCATCTTCTAGGGACCAGATGAGATGCGTAAAGTCGCCGTCCCTGCTCACAGATACACACCTCTGAAGGAGAATTGGATGAAGATTTTCACTCCCATTGTAGAGAAACTTCAGCTTCAAATCAGATTCAACCTGAAAAGTAGAAATGTTGAAATCAAAGTGAGTACATTTTTTTGTTAGACACTCAAACGCTCTGAATGTTTTTCATTTGTAACCTGTGAAATTTTCTGTCTCTCTTTCAGACTTGCAAAGAAACACAGGACATCAGCTCCCTCACTAAAGCAGCTGATTTTGTAAAAGCATTCATATTGGGATTCGAGGTTGAAGTAAGTTTAATCATTAATGGTCGCTTTTCAACAACAATAATTGTGTTTGTTACTGGTTAAGACCAAGGCATTGACACACACACACACAAAAACTATTAACAGCTTATTAATACACTTATTAATATCAGAATCTTCTTGTGACGTGTGTAACATAACAGTGACGTCTTCTCTTCCCAGGATGCCCTAGCTCTCATCAGATTAGACGAGCTTTTCCTAGAAAGTTTTGACGTCACAGACGGTAAGGTTTCTCTGCAGCTCGTCGTCACGTTTCACTTTTTGCCACCAAGAAATCATCTCCAGGTGTGTTGACACTTTTTTGTGTGTGTGTGTCAACAGTTAAACCTCTGAAGGGAGACCATTTGTCCAGAGCCATCGGAAGAATCGCAGGAAAGGGAGGAAAAACCAAATTCACCATTGAGAATGTCACAAAGACACGTATTGTACTTGCAGACACGTGAGTGCATTGTGGGATTTTTGTCAGCAGCAATGATGCAAATTATTTTGAGTATATGAACTGGAGAATATTTTAGCGCTGCTACAGTGTAGTGTTTATTTTGTCAGCAGCGATGATGCAAATTATGTATATGAACTGGAGAATATTTTAGTGCTGCTACAGTGTAGTGTTTGTACAGACTGAAAGTCAATGTCTTTCAACAGAAAAATCCACCTACTAGGATCGTTCCAGAACATCAAGATGGCACGGACAGCAATTTGCAACTTAATTTTGGGTAAGATTTTCTTTTCTTGTATTGTCTTGTATTATTAATATTTTATTTTTTTAATTCCTGTGTAGTCCTATTAGTTATTATTTATAATAATTGTGTTTGAATGTTAGTGAAGAACCTATGTTCAGACCAGAAACGTTCCACTCAGATTTCTTTGTACCATGGGTTACATGCGTTACCATGACAACAAAAGGAGCGTCATCTTTTATCTTTTTATTTTATCAACCATGTTTTTGAAACTCTGCTGGTTCTGACCCTGACAGGAAGTCCACCTTCAAAGGTCTACGGCAACATCAGAGCGGTGGCCAGCAGAGCAGCAGAGCGATTCTGACGTCACGCCGGTTTCTCTTTGTATTTATTGCCTGCCGTCGTCAGCCTTTGGATTTCTGACCTGTTTTGTATCATCGGACTGTGCTCTGTTTACTGAAAGAGATTTGACATCAACAAGGACAGAAAACAAGATATGCAAATAACTGTAAATAAAAAAACCAAGTGAACCCAGATGATGACGTTCAACACTTTTCTGTCCTGCATCTTTCAATGCACCTGGGGAATGTTTAAAAATAAATGCTTCACATTTCAGATTTTCTAATCCTATATTGACCTAAGCTGAGGACACGCTTCAAGATTTTTACTCTTTTTACCCATGATTCCTTGGTGGACACATGAGGAAAAGACCCTTTACTTTCAACATTTCAAAGTTTATTTAAATTTATTTAATTTTCTTACAGTATCAAGTTTCCAACAGTCCCACAGCATAAGATGCAGCATGCAGAAGAAAAAAAAGGAAAAAGGTTTCTCAAACAAATCTTTTCAGATGTCCCCACACAAACTAAAAAGAAAGAAGTCCATCAGAAAAAAAGAAGCACTTACAAACTAAAGCGCGGTCTGAACTATACAGAGAACAGAGAGCCAGAACTGCATTTAACAAATACTTATATACAAAAGAAAGAAAGAAAAAAAAACTTAAAATTTTCCCCTTTAAGCTGAGTACAGTGTGTGGCAGTTTGAGACAGGGTCAGATCGCAACTTTCACTGGAATAGAAGCATCTCACTGACCCGGGTAAAAATACAAAAAAGTTACATGTAGTTCAGTTCATTTGGATTACCTCTCATAGAATATGTGTACATGTACCAAAGTTTGGCAACATCCATATTGTATACCATTTAAATATATTAACATCACCATCCATGTGTAAACAAGAGGATTATTTTCAAAAAGTTGATCTACATGCACAACAAAAAATATAGTTCCATGTCATGCAAGAACAGGGAGGCCCAAGCCGTGCAGAGCTTTGGGATACGGGAGAGAGAAAGAGAAGGGGGAGAAAAAGAGAGAGAGAGAGCGAGCGCACTCTGGGTTCACATCCGACTGAAAAACCCCGTCCACACCACGACTGGAGGGTTTTTTTGTTGTAATTTTAGAAATAATAATAATTAAAAAAAGCTAATTTGGTTGAATTTTTCTTTCTCCCTGTAGGTGATGGGGGAGGGAGGGTGAGAAAATGAGGTGATTGTGATGAGGGGAGAGAAAAGATGGGAGAAGAAGCCAACTTTTGAAATGTACACGTTCCCAAAAAGGTGAGAGAAGGAGTGAAACCACAACGTACAGTCTGTCCCAGTGCACACAGACCCCGAGCACGGAGTTAAGATTCAGTGTTGAGAACCGACCCGACCCGACCCGACACGAGCTGGACTGAGACGGGCCACGATTCAGAAAATGGGCTCGCGGTTAAGCTTTTCATCTCCTCTGCTCTCACTGTTTCAGACGAGCAAATTCAATTACCCAAATATACACATACTGGTTAAAAAAAAAAAAAAACCAAAGAGGAAAAAGACGCTGCCTGCAGATAAAAGTCTCTTTAGGTTGCTATTAACTCACACAAACCATGTAAAACCTCACACTTTTAACTAGTTACTGTCAGTTCACCGTCAGTTCTTCTGACCACGTCCTTCCAGCCGCCGTCTGAAAATCAAATCAATAGGAAACTGGGTTTGTTGTACGGACGCTGAAGGTGGAGAAAAAAAAAATTTCACTTTGCAAACAGAAGCCATGTTGGAAAAATGAAGACGTCGTTGGCATTTGTTGAATCCATCATCAACCGAACAAACAAACCCCAAAGTATGAAACTGTTAACGAACAAAAGAAGAAGTAGAAAAAAAAAAAAACAGGAGTTTTTTTTGCTGTGAGCGACTGAAGGCTTTTTTCTTTTTTTACATTTGATGGTGAACGACAGCAGTGAATGATGGGTAATAACTAGGACTGGTTTCTGGATATGTTCTGGTTGGCACTTCATACCCTACTGTCTAGCTGTTGTTGTAAGTCAAGTGTTTGATAAACTACACACGTCTCCTCACCAGACCACCGTAGATATACTTGTAATATTTTTTTCTTTATAAAAGACAAGAACAAAACAAATAAATATTAGAAAAAATAACAATTAACAAAAAAAAAAAAAAAGGATTTCATATTCCCCCCCCACCCCCCTGAACCTTCACACTGCGTTCACCACAACAGTCAGAGATGCTCGTAGAGAAACGACACACACTTGTCCTTCAGTCTCTTCAAGTGCTACCACCGTGTCACTGAGGGGCTGCCACAGTTCAATAACACTTCAAAGTTGGCTTC